GAAAATAAATATAACCACTTTGCCATTAAAACAAAACTGAACTATTTTTATGGCTACAACCGCAGCTGTGTAATGGTGAAGAGAGAAAGAGAAAAAAGACACGGGCTCCAGTCGGACTCGGCCAGTAATTCTGATAATCTGTCGGATAAGGGCCGGACTAGGGCATATGTTTGAGGCCCGTGCAGGGTTCTGCTGAGCTTATTTGGTAGCAAACTCAATTTTTTACTGGCAAGGTGGCTTTATATACGCACGAGCGCACTTTGGATGTGACTGCGCGAGTACCGAATGGCTTAAAAAGACGTGCAAATAAACAATAACATTTTCTGACGATGCAGCAATGACCCGATTAGGCAAGTGACAATTCTGTCAACTGTCCCGAAACGCGAGTGAAAGTCTTGTATCGCAGCATGCAGCAGCTCTTGTAGCGCAGACAAGATGCGCCGATGTGAAGCCGTTTGAAGAGAAAGTCAAAGAGAGAAGACGCGTACAGCTGAATCACTCACGCTGTTTTCAAATGACTGCTTTGATCAGTCTGTGTGGACTGGACTCAGTCTGTAGGGTTGGTTATTTACTCATCAAACCTACATGCTATAGGCTATTGAATAAATGTGTGAATATCCATCATTTTAAAGTCAAAAGCTGCGGGAATGAGTAAAACTATGCGATATAGCCTATGCGCAACCCCGCACCGAACTTCAGGACCTGATTAAACACAATTCTATTATACAGAGTTTTGTGAAATAGATTTCAATGACTTTTCCAAAACTTTCTGGGTTTATTTATTTTTCCAAAACTTTTCCAGGCCTGGAAATTGGTGTTTTAAAATTCCATGACTTTTCCAGGTTTTTCATGACCGTACGAACCCTGATTTAAGAAAAATATGTTACATTCACATATTAAATATACATGTAAATATTTTCAAAATATATACTGTATGTGTTTGTATTTATATATACATAATAAATATACACAGAACACACCACACATATATTATGTGAACAAAAACTTATTTTGGATGAGATTAATCACGATTAATCTTTTGACAGCAGTAAAATAAACCAAACATGATTTGATCTGAAAGAGTATCATTATGTAAAATAAAGAAATATTTCAGATATAATTCACTATTATTAAGGCATTCATTAACTATTTCGTGAGATTGCAAGCTCTAAGCTTGAGTTGGGAAGCATACAACATTTACTTTTATTAGCAATCGAACGGGCAAAATCTTATCTATATATCTATATCTATATATATATAGAGAGAGAGAGAGAGAGAGAGAGAGAATTATATATTCTACTTTTATGACCATTATTCTTCTATAGTATTATATGGAACTGTCCAACAACTTATGTGTGATTATGGGTGATTTTGTCACAAATTGAAGAAAAGTTTGTTTTTCAAGGCACTTTTCTTACTTCATACACAAAAGTACAAAACTCTGACAAAATCTGATTTCTGGATGGTCTGATATTTTATAATAGTGATTTTATAATTTCAAAATATAAAGCAAAAAGTAGAAATGAATGTCTAATAAGCCAGTAAGTGCTCCTCTGCTGGTTATAATGGTGATTTGTAGGGATGCATGATATTATCAGAACATTATCAGATTTGAAAAATGATGCTGATATAAGACAAGTAGCTCACATGAATCATACTTGTGTTTCTGAATAAATAAAGCTGGATGGATGTCAGAAAATCACAAGTCTGTGTTGATCTAAAAGGTTAGAAGCTATAGCTTACATGAATAAAAATCACAAACATGACACTAGTTAATTAAATCATTTAATATACACAGATTTATCCAGTAATATGCAATTCTTCAAACGGATTATAAAAACTTAAATACAAGGTGCTCTAAAAGATCTTCTGCTTTAGACCATCTATCAAAGTTAAATCCACAAATAAAATCTTAAGGTTTCAACTGCATCTGTCTGAGAGAAAACACGGCAGATTGCTTCTTGTTTTTTGTTATTTTCAGGGCTTTCAATGTACTCTCATTGAGAAAATAGCTTTAATAATGTGTGCTACTTCTAACAAATACGTTTTTATTCAAAACTAACCAAAATTTTAAAATAATTCGTTTATGATTCCCGCACAGGAGAGACTTGCTGTTGTTTCCAAACCAAAGGAAATATATCAGTATCTCGGCTAACACCCAAAATGAGTTCAGCAATATCGGCAAAAATCTAACATCGTGCATCCCTAGTTATTTGATATACAGTGCTGTGAAAAGGTTTTTGCCCCCTTCCTGTTTTTTTTATTTTTTGCTTATTTGTCACACGTAAAAGATTCAGATCATCAAACAAATTTTAATATTACACAAAGATAATGCAAGTAAATACAAAATGCAGTTTTTAAATGATTATTTCATTTATTAAGGGAAAAAGCTGTCCAAACCTACGTGGCCCTACGTGAAAAATGAATTGCCCCCTCCTGTTAAATCATGAAAGAACTGCAATTAACCACATTATTTTAGAAAGCTGAGTTAAATTTCACTAGCCAACACAGCATTTCATAAAAAGAACATCATCCCAACAGTCAAACATGGTGGTGGATGGAAGCATGAATTCTGCACTCTATCAGAAAATCCTGAAGGAGAATGTCCAGCCGTCAGTTTGTGACCTCAAGCTCAAGCGCACTTGGGTTATGCAGCAGGACAATGATCCCAAACACACCAGCAAGTCCACCTCTG